TTTCTAGAGAAGTCCCTCTACATAGTTTGTATTTTCTTCTTCCATTTATTATACTTGATTCTTAAAGTATTGGTGGCAAAATTTACAGTATTCATTCAAAAGTATTATGTTTTCTATGAACTTTTATGCGCTCAAAACTAGAAATTTTAATAATTTTTGCTTTACTTTTGGGAGGGGATGCCTGGATCTGAATCAACAATTTTTAACTGGCTTTCCTCAGACAGAACCCCAAATCTTCAAAGACTGAACTTACAACACAGAAGTCTTTCTCTAGGCTTTAAATCTCTCACCTAAATTCACATAAGATCATCTGATGTTATCTGTAACATTAAGCACTGTTCTTTGCAATTCACACATATAGGTACGTAATTCTTAGTCAAAATCCTTAGGGTAAAGATGTGTTTCTGAATTCACAATTGTGCAATGCCATACAGATATATCATTAATTTAACAATGTCAGCAGGATCTATGCTAGCTTTCTGTAATTAAACATATTATTTCTGCAGCAAAATATGACTACTCATATTGTAACTTGAGGCCAGGTTTTATATCACTTGTCATACACATGCACCAAAATAACCTGGTACTTTCAGCTTTTAGAATTAGAATAAATGATTGTGAAATTATATGAACTCATAAAAGCCAATGGGGCAGAAATGGGTACTGCTTTGTGCCAGTTTTCCCATCTATAAAACTGGGATGACAATAGTATCCCCCTCATTGACTAATTATTTGCAGAACCTTCTATAAAAGGAAAGATCCTTGGTTTTCTAATAAGCTATCTTATTTAACAAAGTGAGGATAATGTTGTGATCCTTAGGAATATACCTTCCCAATGTATGTACAAAAAATAAATAACTCTCAACTTGCTTCATTTTCAGACGGCTGATTCAGTAATAAAAATGATTCACTGCCAAACCAAATCATTCACATGAAGAGGGAGCCACAGTTGTCTAAAGCATGGGTCGAGTTTAGTTTCACATTCCAGCTTCATCACTTACCAACGAAATGAATTTGGGCAAAGAATTTAAATTTGACCTCATTTTTCTTTTTAAGTTGTGATGGACCTTTATTTTATTCATTTATTTATATGTGATGCTGAGAATCAAACTCAAGTGTTTCACACATGCTAGGCAAGTACTCTACCACTGAGCCACAACCCCAGCCCAAAATTGGCCTCATTTTTCTGATCTGTCATAATGGGACGCTATCACAACCCCAAAGGATTATAAATGAGGTAGTATCACCCTATCTATGGAAAATGCTGTCACACAGTATCTTCTACTGTTTACCTTATGGGTTCACAATGTGTATGATTTTAGAAGATTGGGGTGGGGGGCAAGTTTACTAATGTAAGAAGAGAGGCCAAGAGATAAATTAATTCCAGAAGCAGTAACAATGATGGCCCCAAATAATAACATTGTGGGTACATCAGCAATTGCAATATGCCCACAAATTTCCAGAATAAAATCTCTTAATGGAAAACAATCTTTTTATTAAGAAAATACACAATTGGAGACAAAGGAAACCAGATCAATGTGGATGATTCCTCTTACTTAAGACTACATATGGGGGCTGGGATGGTGGCTCAGGGGTAGAGTGCACGCCTAGCACAGGCGGGACCTGGGTTCAATCCTTAGCATCACATAAAAATAAAGGCATTGTGTTGTGTCCATCTACACCAAAAAATAAATATTAAAAAAAAAAAAAAAAGACTACATATGACCCTTTCCTACAGGGAAAGCAGAGTTTTGTCCTTTTAGCTTTTATCATCTCTCAGCTCTGATATCTTCTAAAGCAGACATAACTGAAATACATATTCTTACAAGGCTATAGAAAGCTTCAAGTTTAGAGCTAGTTACAAAGTATAAGTGGCTCTAGTATTTAATAAAAATAAACCCAACCCAGGAATTTGCTATCTATTTTTGGAAGTGTTAGTAATAGATACAAACAAATCTAGACAAAGCAGATCCCAGAGGGATTATAAGTGTATTAGGCTGATCAGATGGTAAATTAATATGCAATTTTGCTCTGGGTCATTGAGACTATCTCAGAGATCATTTACCTCATTTGATATGGAATTAAGTGGGGGAAAAGAAAACAACATCCAAATACTGAATTAAAATTTCTATCTAAATTACTTATGACATGCCGATACACCTCATTTTAATAAATGTTTACTTGAATTCATCTAGAAAATTTACATAGGACAGTTCCATTATTTTTGTCTTCTATAAGTTAGACCACCAAGAAAATACAAAGCTTTTCCAAGCAAAGGGATACATTAACAATAATGCTTCAATGTTCTGCAATTAGTGATTATAGTAAGTCTAAAATAAACAAAAGTGCTAAAAATAATTGTAGGGCTGAGGTTGTGGCTCAGTGGTAGAGCACTTGCCTAGCATGTGTGAAGCACTAGATTCAATTCTCAGCATCACATATAAATAAGGGAATAAAATAAAAGACCAAGGCCAGGAACAGTGGCACACACCTGTAATCCCAACAGCTCAGGAAGCTAAGGAATTCAAAGCCAGACCCAGCAATTTAGCAAGGCCCTAAGCAACTAAGTGAGACCCTGTCTCTAAATAAAATACAAAAAGGGCTAGGGATGTGACTCAGTGGTTGAGTGCCCTGAGTCTAATACCTAGTACCTAATAATAATAATAATAATAATTATAGTGGGGCTGGGAATGTGGCTCAGTGGTAGAGTGCTTGCATGGCACGTGTAAAGGCCTATGATCCTCAGCAATACACACACTCATTTACCTACCCAAGCACACACACTTAAAAGGAAAAATAATTGTAGTTATTAATGCAAACCATCCTCTCTCTCTCCATTACACAAAAAGAAAGAAAACATATCTTGAAAAAATGACCAGAAAGTGTCAACATGTCAAACTAGTTAGTTGGCAATCAACTCTGAATGGGTATTAGGACAGACAAGAAATTGTCAAAATGGACCTTGTTTTGAACCTACTGTATGGCCATTCAAAGTGATCACTACATAGCAGAGTTCAAAGAAGCAGATTATCTCATTTAAAAGTCTTTGTAGACCAAAAAAAAGTCTTTAAAGACAGAGAATTCTGGAAAGTCATCAAGGTGCAAATTATGACAGAAATCAGAACAGATGAAGTCTCTATGATTAAGGAAAAAAAATACATTCCAGAACTAAATCTTAAAAAGAGGAAAAGAAACACTAATGCAGAAAAAAGTACATTCTGAAGGAACAATTTAGAAGATTAAGAGAACCAAAACTTGAAAAACGAAAATGAGAATCTAGAAAGAAAATGAGACCAATTAATAACAGGTACTTTGAGATTAGTAAAGAGTAAGAATAAAGTAAGAGACTCTTAATCAGAATGTTTTAAAACTTTCTGTGAGCTTACAAATTTCCATTATCTAGAAGGGTGAAATAACAGCAGAACCATAGTAGTACTTTTTTGCACAGCAGTTTGGCCTACTTCTCTCAAAACTACCTTGATTTACAAATCTAACATATTTAGATCACATGCATCTTATAATGCTTTCAATCTCATATATATTAGGAATTCCATTTAGACCAGCAAAATACTGAATCCTGCCAATATTAAACAAATCTAGCTAATAGGCATACTCAGAGAACATAAAAAAGTAGCTTGTAGGGTGGAACGAAAAGAAATAACTGCAACATGCTTTAACAAGTTTTAACAACAGGTTTAAACATTATCTAGAATCACGCTACCATCACTTTTCTTATGAACTCTCCTACATCTCACATAAAGGCGTAGAAGGAAGAAGCTGAATATCTACTCTTAGGCTGAAATGATGGCCAATTTGCTTCTCATTCATCCTACCCTCAGTTCTAGGCAGTGTCTTGCCACAAAAATGTCAGTGACACCTAACGCAGCAGAGATCAACCTCTAGGGCATAAAGGCTAAAAATATTATGGTGAGAATATAACACGAGATATACAAGTCATCCATGACCTACACCTTATAAAAGAGCTTAGACTAAAGGATTTTAATCACAGAACAATTTTTCCCATCTACATTTACAATGAGCTCAGTAAGCATTCTATAATTATTTCATCAATGTTCACTTTCTTTTTCTCCATTACATTATAAACTCTGAAATTAATGATCATGTCTTTTAGTTTTCGTATTCCCATGGTATCTATAGTTTTTAGGCACAGAGTAAATACTCAACATATACACATTAATTTACTTTAAAGTAGCTACCAATAACCACTGAAACAAGTATGGATTCCAGAACAGAGATTTTCTAGTAAAGATAAAACATAATAAAAATAAAAAACTCCATCACTGCTATAGCTTCAAGAATCCCACTGTGGTAAAGGCAACAAAAAAGAGAAGCTGGGCTTTTCTAGATCTTTCTTTACCTTGGCTTCACAGACTATCCTAACTATAGTTAAATTTGCTGTGTGTTAAGTTCAAGGATCTATGTGTTTTTATACAGGAATTTGGAAGGTAAGACCAAAATCTTAGTGCAATTACAAATACTTCCCATAAAAATAATTAAATGGGAATTTCCTGTAATAAATAATTTCTCATAGTTCTCATTAAAAACTTAAGGTAAATAAACCAAACTTTCATAGAAAAATTGTATTTACAACTCCAAAAGCAGTTTTTAAAAGCAAACACGATATAACACTGAATTTGAAAAATTTATGCTAAACCAAAATTGCCAGGTTTAATAAATTATTAACAGAATACTGCATCAAAAATAAGGCAATAATCCAAGATATGCCATTAAAGATTTCTTCACCCTCACAACTAGACAGAACTAATCTACCTAGTAGCAAATTCATTCAGTTTCAGCAAGTTTGAAATCCTTAAGGACAGAAGTGATAAAAATGTGATCTTCATTCTTCATTAGACTCTTAGAATACTTGAAGGAAAATAATTTCTAAAGCACAAAGAGGTAAAGAGGTATAATCTTTCAAAATGATATTCAGTGTTCAAAAATCAAGAATGCAACACCAATACACAATGGGCCTTAGGTGAGTATACGCAATACAATGATAGCAAATTAATTTATTTAGTACTTTTTCCATTCCATATCATCAGGAGGATTGATTTCAACTTTCCTTTTACCTACATCAGACCAGTTGGTACTCAAAACTGTACCACCAGACTCCATCTGGAAAAAAAATAAAAATAGGTTAATTCCTGAGCCATATAACCAAAATAGAATTATTTTCCTAAAACCATTCTAACTATAGTCTCAAATATAGGCTATTATATAGCTCAACATAAACTCAAGTATTTTTATTTAAACTGAAACATTTCAGAGAAATTAACAAATTCTATGAAAATGTGAAAAGAAAACTAGAATAATTAGGTAGAAGTACTGTGTACACATACATTACCACATCAAGCACAATGTTCCCCTCTGCTAATCAACAAAGGTATATGTGGAAAAACCACCTTCAAATGAAAAGTGATGCTGTAATTTTTTTTTTTTTTTACAGAAGACAGTGAAGACCAAGCAAAATAAACTCTTTCTATACTAGTTAAGCAGAACTTTAAGGATCTCTAATTAATACTCCCCAGTGTCAAACACAAATTTCCTCTGAAAAAAAATAATTTTTAACCACGGTTAAAATTTTAACAACCAACAGTGTCTCAGTAAAGACTGGTTATCTACTTAATTACCTACTGAATATATCATCTACCAATGACCCTAGCATATTCATACGATCATGTGCTATATAGTGATGTTTTGTCAACAATGAACTACATACATAGGACAGTGTTACCATAAGATTATTATGGAGCTGAAAAATTCCTATTGCCTAATAACATCATAGCAGTTGTAACAGCATAGGGTGACACATTACTGGTATAAACAAATCTATTGTGCTGCCACTGATATAAAAACAACATACCATATTATACTAGCAGGAGCTTCTTACATCTCCTGATTCCATCTCTTGATTCTATCAAGAGGCCACATTAGGCTGGAGATGTAGGTCAATGGGATAACATGAGGGAGGGAAAAAACCTACCCATCAAGTGACTGACCTAACACTATCTAGGTTTATATAATACACTCAATGATATTTGCACTAATGACAAAAATCACCTAAACATGTACTTCTCAGAACGTGTTCCACTGTTAAAAAGAGATGAATGAATGTATATAAAAATAGTAAAACTTCATGATGTTTGTTGTTTTGATGCGCAATTTTTTATTTAGTCTAATTAGACTAGGAGATCACACAGGACAGAGTATTTTGGGGTTAGTTTGTTTTCCCACAAGACAGAAGCAAGTCCTTGGTTTAAGGTCAATGTTGCCACAGAAATCGCTTGTTTTATGAGTATATACAGTTTACTTAAAATTATCAAAGTTTCAGTATAAAAATATATTCAGATTCTCTATTACATCTTTGATTTGACACAGTGCTATTTTGTCTAGAATGCATTCAAAAGTTAATAGTGAGAAAGACTTCCTTTCTGGGAAGACTGAAGTATTTCTCCTTGAAAAAGTCAAATGAAAAATACATCAAGAAAAATAATTTACATAGTTCCACAGTGATAAACTGTCACTAAATCTCAATCTGATTCGGATGGTATTCATGATGCCCTAGCAAAAGCCTGAATTTTCCTAATCAACAGAAAAATTATTAAAGCAATGAATAACTAATGTGTACTTTTCCACTAGCTAAACACAATTTGGAAATTTCCCCTCTATATTCTTCATCTCTTAACACTCAGACAAGAGATTCTAGGAGGTAAATAATGGAAGTTAACTCAGCTACTATGACAGATTCAACTAAGATAATTCCATAACTCACTAATTTAAAAAAAAAAAAAAATATATATATATATATATATATAAAATTTAGAATAATCACGTGTTCTCATCTCTTCTACAAGTTTTCAACTTCCTCAACAACTACTCTGTTTAGAGCAAGAAAAAACATTTGGACAAAGCCCATTCAAAAAGGTCTCCAGGCACAGTATAAGTAATTTGGTGTTAAATTATCTACTGAAAATGTCTAAAATTCACTCCCCCACAATATTTGGGAGAAAAAAAAAGTGATGTTCTTACAAATGATTTGTTCATGGCACGTTTCACTTCATCAGAACCATCTGAATAGATCTGCTGAAATAGTTTGTTTAAAGCTGCATCTCCCTCCAACTTCTCATTCTTTTCTTCTTCTTTGATCTCACCAACCAATTTATCCCAATTTCTTGTATAATGAGATGAAGATGGATATAGGTTCTTTACATCTGTGAAGTGAAAATGGGGGAAGAAATTAATTGATGTGTTTTGATTATACCAAGAATATGTAACACTTTGACCATGATAAACAGAATATGTGAGCAGTTTAGGTCACCAAATTTCATTTTTGCAATAAGTGTTTTTTAAATAAAAACATTATTTTAAAAAGATGCTTAATATACTTCTCTTATAAATAAGATTTTAATGTTAAAAATGTGGCTTTTGCTGGGTGTGATGATGCATGCCTATAATCTCACCAACTTGGGAGATGAGAAAGACACAAGCTTGAGACCAGCCTCAGCAACTTAAGAAGACCCTAGTTAAAAATTTTTTAAAAAGAACTGGGGATATATAGCTCAGTGGCAGATGGCTCAGGGTTAAATACCCAGTATCTCTCTCTTTCTCTCTCTCTCTCTCTCACACACACACACACACACACACACACCAAAAAAGGGTGACATTTTAGGAACAAGGTGCAATGGCAAATGCCTATAACTGAAGCTATTCAGAAGGCTAAGTGGGAAGGATCATTTACGCCCAGAAGTTTGAGTTCACCATGGGCAACAAAATATAAAATAAAAATGTGGTTTTTCTAGGGAACTCACGTATCTTTCAGAGTAAACTGAAAGTATGATCACAGAAGCTACAAGAGTGAGTTAAGACTCCTTCTCTCCCCACATTAAAAATAAGACTGCTTCAACAGTAAAGAATTTTAAGTTGAAATATATTACTTATTTACAAATACAATATTTGACAATAACTATAATATCTGCACAGTATAGAAAATAACAGTATTTGTAGAGCACACTAGGTTAAAACAGGCTGCTTACAGATAGAAAAGGCTGGTGGCCCAGGGGCTTATGATACAGCCAGGGCTGCCCAGAACATCAAAAGAATGAAGATTTGGGCACACAAATAATTAAAAAATAACAAACTGACCTAGTAGGTATAAGAGCAGCTCTGTTCACTATCCAATGAAGACATAAATGATGACCACAAATGTAACCACATATATAATTTTAAAATTCTAGGAGTGTGTTACTAAAAACAATCATGGTAAAATATACTTTAATAATGTACTTTGAAATCAAAAAATATAATGTTTTCTATTTTTTTCCATGTCATAAAAATCTGGTACATATTTACAATTTAGTACATCTCAACGCAGACTAGTCATATTTCATGTGCTCATCAGGTACATGTGGCTAGCAGTTACTGTACTGGACTATACAACTATGAGGCTTTGAAAAATCCTGGTTTGAAATTTCTTTATTTCTATATATTAATACAGAAACTACTAAACATTCATCCTGTTTTTCATCCTTTCTTTACACCTATAAACCAATTTTCTCCCTGCCCACCCTCCATCAAAACAAAACCCAAGGTCAGAGCAATGAAAAAGGTAAAACAGCTTCTGTCATTTTCTCTACATGCTAAGCTCTTTCCTTAAGACCTTTATGCATTTTCAATATCTACTTGAAATTCTTTTCCCCTCTCTTTGTATTGTTTGGAATTTACCACCACTCATTTACATAAAATAGCTTTAATTTTTTCCCATGTCTGTGTGTGCCGATACTATTACCATGCTTTAATTTACTAACTTTCTTTTAATCAATCACTTTTTTCTTCTACAAAAATTAATATATTATAAAAGCAAATCTAATGTTATTGCAATAAATGAAAAATAAAACTGATTATTTCAATAATTAGAAGTTATTAAAAAAAATTAACCCCTGAAATAAAACCAAACCCAAGACCCTATATGATTTTATTCATGGCAGGTATATTGTTTTAAAAACCCTATCCATCTTCCATCTACTAGAAATCCCCCCTTCTTTGTACATTTTCAATAGTAAACAAAGAAAACAAACAAACAAAAAAATGCAGGCCATGGTAAGTTAAGAGCCTAGGAAACATGGATTTAATTAATTCTAATACTCATTCCCTGGAAAGATGGAAATAGAGGTTTAATCTCCACTTTACAGATAAGAAAGCTGGCCCAGATCGGTTAAGTGACTTGCCCTTATCTACAGTCTCCACCTTGCAGTACACAGGAATCTGACAAGCATATTAATTCCTTACAAAAATGTAACAGGACAAGAAGAATAGCATCTTGAATATCTAAGGTATTGAATTTAGAAAAAACTTACTAACTATAACACTAAAAAAACCTTGATTTTTAATCTCATAAAAATTTTTAACACATGGAGGTGGTTGATGAACTACAGAGCTAAGTAACCTAACTTCTTTACTCAATCAAATAACTACAAAGATACTCATGCCAGCAGAGATAATTTCCATGTTGAAAATATAGCAACAAAAAGTATCTCACATGGGGCTAACAGAACAAGACCTATACTCTGAAGACCTGGCTTTTAGTCCTAGACAATGAAACCTGCTGAGCAATCTTGAGCAAGTTGATTAATCTTTCTGAACCTGTACAACAGAAGGAATAATGCTGGGCTGCCTATTATACATGGCTGTTATGTGAGATACTACTCTTAGAAAAGTTTTGCACTACATAAAATCATAAGTTCAAAAATCTATTAGTCACGAAAGAAGCATGTAACATTTTTATTGTCTTACAATTATCAAAAAAAAAATACTTTAAGTTCCCTAAAAATTTCCTGTTGGTATGCATTTCCTGGTTTTGCTAATTATACCTCAAATTAATTAAGATTTTATCATTAGAGCAAGTGGGGTTAAGAATCTATGGGAGCTCTTATTTTGCAAATTCTGTATGCATCTAAAATTACTTCTTAATTAAAACATGCACACATAAATGATCCACTGAACAACCCATTTCCTAAAAGTGGCCACAGGAAATATGTTTTCTGCTACAGAAGAAAGTGGGCAAAATCTGAAAGTAGCTGAGACACAATATTAACTTGATTCAGTCATCAAATCAGAGCATTAACTAATACATCAAAAAGAAATTTCTCTCCATTTACTAATGAGATTATTACAGTAAAATACAATCTTAGGTTATAGTTCTAAAGAGTGTCCTGCAGATTAATTATTTCATTAGAAAAATGCTTATCTACTTATTGCATGTGGTTAGAATTGACCTCAACGCAACGCTGTACATCCCGAAAAGAGCTACCCAATGTACCCTACTTTCCTCTCTTCTCCTAGAATTTTCTTTAGTACGTATTACCTATTTTTATCCTTCTCTAAATTAATATAGTGAAATGGGCTAGAAACCTTATTCAATGAAGCCCTGAAATTTAAGGTAATTAGAGTTGACAATATTGGTAGAAGGAACATAAAGGAATAAACAAGAAAGAGAGGCGGGGAAGATGAGAAAATATATCAGCAGAGCAAACTAATTAACTTACAATGCAAAAAGCAGCAATAAGAAAGGGCAACAAACAAAATCAAACAAACTCCAAATAATGTCATAAACTGACATGGTGAGCGATCCCAACTTCTCTGGGATTTTGCTGCCATTCACTTGTATTCTTAGAGTTTAGTAAGTTAGAATAGTCACAAGGCTACTTTGTATTCATTACACAGCAACCTTATTATACTCAATATACTTATCTTGGAAATATAAATAATGGAAGTAGAAAAAATGTTCATTACTATTTAATTTCAACCACACAACATAATACAAATTTAAAGCTTATCAAGGCCAGAAAACAAACCTGCTATGAACTGTTTTGAAGTAGGGACATCTCCTTGCCCCTCTAGCTTTTCCCATCTCACAGCCTCTGGCTTTTTCATTTTAATTTCAATCTAGAGGAAACACCAAATAAAATCCATTATCAAATGTAAAATAAATAAAACAGTAAAAATGCAATTTTCTTAAGTCATTGAAGTTTTATAAATGATAGTTTCCTTAGTAGAATGAAAGACATTTTTATTGTATGTTTATATGTGACTACATGACCAACATGATTCTGCAACATGTACATTCAGAAAAATGAGTAATTATATCCCATCTATGTATATCAAAGTGCATAAATGCATTCTATTGTCATGTATAACTAATTAAAACAAAATATTAAAAGAAAAAGGTTAAATCTGAAGAATTATAAAATATTTATTTTTAGGGGCTGGGATTGTGGCTCAGCAGTAGAGCATTCCCCTAGCACGGGCAGGACCCAGGTTCGAGCCTCAGCACCACATAAAAATAAAGGCTTTGTGTTGTGTCCATCTACACCTAAAAAATAAACATTAAAAAAAAATATTTATTTTGTTTCTACTATTAAAATTCATCCTTCCAAAAAGACGACATAAACACTACAATTTGAGTTTCAAGACTTAAATGCTTACTTTTCTTCTTAAGCAGTGTTCTCAACTAGGGATGATCCTCTCACCCAGGGGACATCTAGCAATGTCTATGGACATTGCTGGTTGTCACACCTAGGGTAAGGGAAAGGTTGGTGCAGACATCAAGTAAGTAGAGACCAGGGGATGGTACTAAACATCCTATAATGTACAGGGAAACCTCCTACAACAGAAATATCCAGCCCCAAATGACAATAATGCCAGCATTGAGTAACCCAATTTCTATAGGAATTTGTTGTTTTCACATGTGCATTAATCTGTTTTAGAGTAATTTATTCTACTGTGTAAAAATAATACAGCATATTCTAATATATTATTTTTACAACCATTCATTCAACAAATAACTACAGGTTGAGAACCCCTTTGCTGAAACGCTTGAGACCAGAAGTACGTCAGAATTTGGATTTCAGAGTATTTGCATGTACATAGTAAGATATCTTGGGGATGGGACCAAAGTTTAAACATGAGATTCCTTTATGTTTTATGTATTCCTTAATCACATAGTCTGAAACTAATTTTATACAATATTTTAGTGCACCTCCATTTTGACTGTAACCTGCAACATAAGGCCAGGAGTAAATTTTCCACTTGTGACCTCACGTCAGCACTCAAAAAGTGTCTGATTTTGAACTTTAAATTTTCATATTAGGAATGTTCAACTTGTACTAAACACCTACAATGAATGGGTATACTCTTTAAGGTTGTGGGGAATTTAAAAAATATTAATGACACATCTTTGACCATTTGGAAATATATGAGATACTTAAAGTCACAAAATAGGCAAATACGTGTCAAAAGCTCAGGAAATCACACCAGCTGCAAAAGGTGAAGGTTTCATGCAGTTTAAAGGGTGCTGAGGGGTAGATAATGTTTGCAAGGATAGAAGGAGTAACCCAGTCTCCAGAGGCAAAGAGAATGGCCTATAACTGGAGCTCTGGGGACACGAAAGGCCAGAGTACATCAGGGAGTATGAAGAAAACCAATCTGCCAAGTCCAGAATTTATATAAGAGCAGTGAAGACTAGATGGAAAAAGAGCAGAATACACAGAGACTTCCAATGTTAAACTAAGTTTACTTACAAAAAAAGAAAACAAGTATCCTAATAGCAACTTTTACTCTCATCAAGGCTTGTCTTTTGTCCCCAGCATCTACCCTTACTCCTCATATACTCACTCACCTCTACCTTTTTTTTTCCTATTCAAATAATGTTCCCATCTCCATTTTTAGATTGGCAAAAATCAGTGTTTTCAGTGTAAACATTATAGTAAACCGCATCAAATAATATTATGCAGATTAAATTAAGAATCAAATTAAATTTTACATTATAAATATAACAAAGAGCAGCCTATTCACCCCTTTGTTCTCTGACTTCTTTTTAATCAGATAACTCACTTAAATCGGCAATTCCTGGTAATGTTTCTTCTACCTGCATCTTGCTTCTTTCACTTTCAAATAGAATCAAGAACCCAGATGGCAGTGTGTACATCATCGTACTAAAGTACATTCCCACTTCATATCCTTATGCTACATGCATTTTTACATAAAAGTTCATTTTTTCACTTTAAGAGCAGCACATACTTGCAGTCACATTTACTGAAAGCCACCGTAACCTGAGGAATTGTGCAGTATGAACAAAAAGGCCTTTATAAAGATAATCAAAGCTCTCAGCAACAATCTGTTTCAAGTGAGACAAACTGACCTAAGCCTGAAATTATACTTACTCCAATTCATTAAAACAGCAGTACTGAATAAACCATGTAAAACAGCTTTTTAAAAGGTGAAAACAGGGATGGGAGGGGGGTAATTTTCTGTGAATTCTTTTTCATACCTACTTCGCTTTCAATGCTTATACATGCTCTTAAAAATGAAGTTTGAAGTCTTGACATTTCTGGCAGATACTTCTAATATTATAGTCCAATTTCAGAGACTTTTTATTGTAAACACTAATAAACCATTCTATTTTCATTTAAGTAAAAAATACTTTAAAAAGCTAACTTAAATCATTTTTAATATATATATTTTTTGGTTATCAGTGCACCTTTATTTATTTATATGTGGCACTGAGAATTGAACCCAGTGCCTCACACATGCCAGGCAAATGTTCCACCACTGAGTCACAACCCCAGCCTCCTAACTTTGATTTGTTTGAATGTTGCTCTTATATGCACAGGCAAGGTTTTCAAGGTTCCATAATATCCCAAAGCAGTATCTACAAGTTATTAATAAGAATCCCTACTGTGCTTGATCATGATCTACTATGCACCTCTGAGGTTTCCTCTGAGAATTTCTTTTTTTCTCAATGAAAGGAACTTCAGATTAAAAAAGAAGCCATTTGGGCTGGGATTGTGGCTCAACGGTAGAGTGCTCGCCTAGCCCGGGCGCGACCTGGATTCGATTCTCAGCACCACATAAAAATAAAGGCATTGTGTTATGTCCATCTACAAAAAAAAAAAAAAAAAGAAGCCATTACTACTTCTAAGTAATCATAGCATAAAGACACTGGCTTCTTAAGAAGCACTTAGTGCTACAGACTAGCAGTGAAGGAATTCTCTCCAGAGTCTAAAGAACCAAAGCAGTTTACTGGCAAACTTTTGAGATTAACCTGCCTCAAGGTTACAGTTATTAAATAACTGTGCCCCTATCTTTAGAATGTAGCCTTTCCAAAATTTTCCTACTCTTTGCAAATTTAATTGGTACCACAAAACCCTTTGTCCAATACTGGAGCAGTAGCTCAGTCTTTGCAGGCCAGACTGATACATCTTGTTTATTCTTAAACTCAAATCTGTGTCCCCCACCCCTCTCCATGGTACTAGAGATTCCATTCAAGGACTTGTGCTTTGCACTCTACCACTAAACTACATCCCTAGCCCTTTCGTGGCCACCGTCCCCCGGAGTTTTTTAATTGGTGCATTGTAAGTGCATGTAGTTTTGGGATTTGTTACATATTCATATATGCACACAATATAATAATATAATTGGCCAATATCATTCCATAGTATCATCCCCAGCTTTTTAAAAAATATTATTTTGAGGCAGGGTCTCATTAAATTGTCTAAGCTAATCTCAGATTTGTGATCCTGCCTCAGTCTCCTGAGATGATGGGATTACAGGCCCAAAATGTCTGGCTTCACTCAAGTCACTATAACCATTCTTTAAAATACAAAAAATGGTAAGAAAGGCATATTTCTACCTGCTTAATTTAAGTATTTATTGAGTGCCAGGCACTGTGCTCATAAGGAAACAGCTTTTGTTCTCTCATAAAACAACGAAAAATTCCAGTGTATATAATTGTGAAGAGTGGTGATTTGAATTATGGTCTGACTCTCATGGTTGCATTTGCACTAGAAGCTAGCTGTATGAAGGTACAGGTCAACATGCCCCAATTGCGATAGTAATGCTGTCCAGGGAGGTATGGCTCTATATTAGTCAAGGCCTGATAGAGAATTCTGAGCAAAACAAGATGACTAACATTTTGCCAGTCTGTGGCCTTTAGATTGCCTGCTTTATTGAAGTTTTCCCACAAATAACCTTTTGACGAAACCTATAAAATAAACTTGCTGAGCTAGTTCTGGAGTCTGTCAAGCCTCACCAAGGGCTTGGCTACCCACCTGGCCCCAGCCTTTTCTCCCTATGTGTGTCTGTCTTTTCTTTATCCCCCATTGCTCCTGAGCACCTGGTATCTCCTTAATTAATGGTCTTAGCTGAGAGATGAGAGGGCTGCGACAATTGGCACCTGAACAAGGATTTGAGAGGCCCAAGCATACAATGTGTAGTGACAAACCCCATGCTAGGAAACAGATATTTAGAAGGTAGTATATTAAAATGCTATTAGTGATGAGTCTTCAGTAACTACTCTCAGCTGCTTCACACTTTCCCAAATTTCTATACACATTTACTACTTTTATAGCCTGAATAAAAATCTAAATAATCGGGGGGGGGGGGGAACAACAACAGTAGTAATAACATTTATTGAGCACTTATATACTCTGTGTGCTTCACATGTCATGTCATTTAATAAAACCACACTACAAAAGAAGATTATATCCATATTTTAGAAATGAGGGAATGTAATTATGGAATAATTTGCTTGAAATACCTTTTCTGCTAGACTTTTCACTTATTTCTTCAGAAACAAGCAGGGACCGAGAACAAGGCAAAACCAATTAATTGTGTAAATAGAAAGAATCACAAAGAGGTGCTATTTGTTGGATATATGACTTACAAGCAAGTATATTAATCTCTGTGAGCCTTAGCTTCTCCTTTGAAATGGGAATAACAAGGCTTATACCATATAGGGTTCTTATGAGGATTAAATATCATGTACAAAAAGACTATAGAACTATATCTGGCACATAACAAATGAATGCAATCACAAATATCTTCATCATCATAAACATCTGGAAAAAACTGGGCAAATTATTTAACATCTCTGGGTTTGGTTTCTCTACCTCTAAACTGGTAATAAAAATAGTCATTGTGAAAATTACATGATATACAGTATAGTGTCTCGCATGTGATAAACAACTATTTTAATTCGGCACAGGTCAAACAATACAGGATAGAGTATAGAACATGTATGCAGTAAAATATTTTGCTGGAAAATATTTAATGGTATGGGGGGAAAAAGCCATAATGAATGGTTAAGTTTAACAGACATTAAGAGAGCGTATATATAGCAAAATATTTCTTTATAAAATATACAAACATGCATTAATGGAAAAGAGTACATTCCAAGATTCACAATTTGTGGACATCAGCAACTAATTCAGTAAAAATAAAACACAACATCTCACTATTATTCCAATATTAATAGCAAAACAAAGCTATAATCCAAACACCCCCACATTTACATACTGACAAACACAAGTAGCCTGCCCAGATATCCCTATTCTTCTACCCTATCTCTGGAATTTTCTATATATTCTCTTGCTTCTATGAGCATTAAGAAAAGGAATTCATTCTAAAACTGCTCAAATTTTAGTGGTGAAAAAGGAACCAGGAGGTTATTATTTTGTCTCCAGTAAAAGCACACATTTTTATTTACCATGGTTCCATGTTGTATAATACAACAACTTTTTTTGTATTATACAATACAAAAAATTACTTAAGACTAAAAATAAAGCTGGGCATGGTGGCTCATGCCTCTAATTCCAGTGACTCTGGAAAGAGTCAGCTAAGGCAACAGGATCACAAGTTTGAGGCCACTCTCAGCATCTTAGCTAGACCCACAGCAACTGAGCAAGACCCTGTCTCAAACTAACAAAGTAGCTTAGTGGTAAAGTGCCCCTGGGTTCACTCCCTAGTACCTGCCCCCCCCCCCCAAAAAAAAGAGTATAAACAGGAATATAAGAATATTTCTATAAAGGTAAATTTACCCCAAAGGATTGATTAGTCTAATTCTTAAGAACATTTCACAACATAGTTGACACCGAAATCACAATACTGAGACTATGGCCAGAGAATAACGTCATGAAATTAACATCATGAAACAAAAGAAACATGATGGTTTCTTAATTTTAGAAAGTGGATCAACAGGCTGACATGTAAACTGTATTCATAACTGTAAGTGCTATGTAATGGTAGAAATAATTAGCAAAGATACTGAAAAAATATAGTCTGGCTAGAAAAAATGTTCTAGATACTACACTGGAAATACTTAAATACTATTTCATTAGTTTAAGGATCCCACCTCTTCCTGTTTTCATCACAAATTATTATTTTTCACACAAATAAGTTAACTGGCTACACACAGATACGCAACATTCATTCAAAGTGGAAGATGGGGAAAAACAAGACTCTCAAAGGAAAGAAATAGTTCCTGTAAAACTAGATTTTAACAGAATCTTATTTTAAGCATATTCTCCTAAGCAAAATGCATCATTTCCTTAATTCACACAAGGTTCAAGATATACAAAATGCATGAAAAGTAAATTATTTCTGTACTTTTCCCTAAGTACCATCACTCAGTAACAATGATTTCATTTTCAATATTTTAAAACACTGTCTCCCTCTGCTGTATGAAAATGGAAAGGACTCAAAAGATCTCATCACTTATTTCTTTCAAAATATCATTAAGAAAATCTATAAATTTATTTGCTACAAGATATAATTTATAGGTTAGCAGCCCAACAGAGTTATATGTTTAAAACATGGAAATTATGAGATCAGAACAAGAAAAACAATCTTTCTTTAGGATGTATCGCCTTAGAATCTAAATTCTTCAATCCAGAATTTGAAAAATCTAAGCAAAGCGTGGTTGGCAGTCAGAATTAAATATGCAGCCAGGTACGATGGTGCAAGCTTGTAATTTCAGCAGGTCAGGAGGCTGATACAGGAGGATCCTGAGTTCAAGCCTCAGCAATGGTGAGGCACTAAGCAACTCAGTGAGACCTGTCTCTAAATAAAATACAAAACAAGGCTGGGAATATAGCTTGGTGGTTGAGTACCTGAGTTCAATCTCTAGTACTCCCTGCCCCTGCCAAAAGTACCAAGCACCTGTTACGTACAATGCATGGGATGAGAAAGGGCTGCCAAGTTTAGTAAATAAAAATATATCAAAAAAATATATACCTGGTTATACAAAAAAAATTATTCATTGTTCATCTAAAATACAAACTTCATCTGTATTTCAAACACTTTATCTGAAATAAAGTCCTTAAGTTATTTATCACCTATTCACACAAATTAATTTACATTTATAATACTTCAAATGCATATGCATTATTTGCATTAAGAATCTCTTGGTAGAAATATATAAAAAATACCAAAATCATAATTTTCTGACCTGTCTTCCTCTCAAATCTACCTAGTGTTTTGTGCTTGATTACTCAGAATTATTTTATTGAACAAATTCTACACTATGTGAATAGAATAAGGGATAGAATAAAATCCTGGTGAGATTTCATCCCTTTTCTGACTTTCTATTATCTCGAGCACTTGTTCCACACCTGCCACATAATTAATCAGCTTTACTTTTGGCAATCTTCAAATAAAACTTCAAGGGGTTGGGGTTGTGGCTCAGTGGCAGAGCACTTTCCTCGCACATGTGAGGCACCGGGTTCGATCCTCAGCACCACATAAAAATGAATAAACAAAATAAAGATATTGCATCCGTCTATAACTATTTTTTTAAAAAATAAAACTTCAAAAGGGCAAACCATATTAAACTAGAAACAAAATACTACTTCATATTTTTTGCTCCAAACCTGTGTAGTTTCCTTTCTGTATGCCTGGTTACCACTCTTCAGGACAGGTGGACCTGATCCTATTCCATGATAGGAAACTTCACATGTCCTTATAACTTAAACTTAAGAGTCTGAGTTAATAATGTAACTTTCTGTAAGACCCATATATAAAAAAACATATACTAATGGAAAAAGTTTATATCATTCATTCTTATTAACTCACTTATCATATACTTTCATACAATTTCATGTAATTTTACTGGTAAAGGGATTTTAGAGCCCATACTCCTCATTATATAGATGCTGAATACTTAATCCAAAGTCATTGTGACTAGACTAAATTCACAGGGCAAGCTAAGAGACAGATTTAAATCTTCAATTCAGTATTTCTCCTACTAAATTCACTACTACCTACATCTTTTGAATTATGCTTAAATCTTATGAATATTAATTCTACTTTTTTAAAATACAAAGGAATTAAAACATTATATACTCAAACTGTTATTCATTACTCCTTCATAGTAAAGTAACCTGAAATTCAGCATAACTATAAATAAACAAAAAAGTAGATTTATCTTTATAACTTTTTCTATTTTTAATTGCATAAGGCAGGGTAAGAAAAGTATTTATACATTAAAACAGACCAAACTGACAAGTTCTTCAGAAGAGACAATATCAGTATCAAATCATAAGCTATTTTTATTATATCCACTTCGAAAATCTTCATTGAAAAAGCCTATAGCTATCTTTATGATAAAGTACACAAACACCACACAAGCTATTAGTTTTATATTCCACTATTCAAATTTTGGGGATAAGAAAACACTGATACTAAACAATCACTGTTTTTAATTTCCTGAGCGACTCCTCCCTCCCTTTTTTGAGACAGGGTCTTGCTAAATTGCTGAGGCTAGCCTGAACTGGTGATCCTTCTGCCTCAGCTTCCTGAGTCTCTGGATTACAGGAGTGTCACCATGTCTGGCAACTGTCTCTTTTAATTTAAATAGGATTTACAAGTTTATTATCACATAGGTGATTAATTCACCAGTAGGTTTATATTTTGAAAACATTACAAGTGAAAAACCTTTCCAATGGCCTCACCTTTGTTGTAAGTACTTTAAACGTACTCTGTTCTGGTATTATAGGATGAAGCAATCTCATTTTCAAATTGTAATCTTCTCCAGAAGGAAGTTTCACCAAAGCAGACAACTATTGAACACAAATTAGCAACACATTTTGTAAATTTACATAATAAAGGGTACAAAAATTTTAAATGAATACAGAATTCTGACAATGTTGCAGATTAAACATTTTGTGTAGTGTGTCAGATTTAAGAATTTCAAAATAATCTTTCAGTGGTATTCATGTAAATTCTCAAATATTTAAAGAACAGAAAACGACATTTGAAATATTTATCCTATTTAATCACACATAACATTTAAATCTCAAGAAAACACAACACACAAATGCAAATGATACAGTAACAAAAAGAAATTATTCTTGCACAAAATATTTAATTCTAACCACCTTTCTTAATATCTATCATAAGGTTCTCTACTTAATGCTTAGAAACCAAATTCTAAAGTCATACTCATTAAATATAATTAGTAAATTCCAAAACCACACAGCTAATAACTAGACCTTTTTCATAAAGTTCACCATGTAAGTATAACCAAATCACATATCTTATTAATCGTTAACCAAGTTCTGCTTTATACTCTTTTTATAACTTAAGTTTTTTTTAATAACATTTATTTCATTTTTATGTGGTGCTGAGGATCGAACCCAGTACATTGCATGTGCTAGGCAAGCGCTCTACTGCTAAGCCACAATCCCAGCTCCTGCTCTATACCCTTAATCTAAAGAAAAAAACATATTTAGCTCTTATCTCAAATTTTTTAACTCAAACTAAAAAACAATGCTTCAGATTTTATTCAGCATCTTCCATGTTATCTCAAGAAGAAATGGCATATAGCTGATAAACTGCTGTAGATTATTCTGCAATATATTAAATTGGCAAATAATAGTATGTAATCGCCATATAAAATATGGCTTAAAGATTACCTCTTTTTCTGAAAATTCCACATTTACGTCATTCTTTTGAACATTCTTGATCATAAGTGTAATGATTACTTGAGATTCTGTTTGATACCAATCATACCTATTAAAAAGGAAAGAAACTTTAAAAAATTGTTTATCAAATAAAAAAAAAAAAGGTCTGATAAAGAACTCCACCCTAAGGAACAAAACAGCAAAACAGCTGTTAATTCACAGAAGCAATTATATGTAACTAATCTTCTATTATCTGTACTAATTAAGAGAAAACAGTAAGGTAGGTGATGCCCACGTCTTTCCAGTGGACTTAAAATATACATCCATTATTTTCTAATATAGTTGCACTTAAGCTAATATTAAAGATAAAAATTAGTGCTGAGGTTGTGTCTCAGTGGTAGAACACTTGCCTAGCACATGTGAGGCACTGGGTTCGATCCTCAGCACCACATAAAAATAAACAAACAAAGGTACTGTGCACATCTACAACTAAAAAAATTATATATTTTAAAAAAAAAGAGAAAAATAAGCCAGGTACCCGGGGCACCCCTGTAATCCCTACAGCTCAGGAGGCTGAGACAGAAGGATAGTGAGTTCAAAGCCAGCCTCAGCAATGGCAAGGTACTGTCTCTAAATAAAATACAAAATAGAGCTAGGGATATGATTCAGTGGTTGAGTTCCCCTGAATTCAATCCCTGGTACCAAAACAAAAAAAGATAAAAATCATTCTAAACAGCCACTAATTACACATTATCAACAGTTTCATACTCTCATTTCCACCTAATACTAAGGTAAATTAAACACTTCTATTCCTATTTTACAGATGAGAACACAGAAAGCTCAGTGGCAGCAGTGCTGAGGTGGATCTGGTCAACCTGAGTCAATACTACAAGCTCTTCCCTGAAGCTGGGAGTAAACAGACCTCAGCACAGGAACAGAGGCAAATGAGCTCAAGCTACAGTTATTTAAACTTTACCCATTTGCCAGGTACAACATTATATAACAATACCTTCCCCTTCAAATCTTACGGTATTCAGGAAGAAGACCAATGTGTCCAGGGATTATCATTATGTGTACCTTTCATACTGAAAGCTCTAAAAATGTAGTAATCCTCACTTTCAAATGAGACTATAATCTCCCTGAAGGGAGAGCTACTCACCCTGATACTATTATATTCTCAGGAACAAGCACATGCCTACTATACAATATACTTATTAAATCAAATGCTGAATTATTTTATGCTCCAAATTCCAAAATTGTCATTTGATGTTTATGTGTTCTTATCCTCACTATGGTCACCAGGCAAGTCAAAGTTCCCTGTTTACAAAGTACTTGGAGTCACTTCATTTCCCCAAAAAGAACATGAATAAATTGTTTTGTTGTAACATTTTTAAGTCATTTTAGGTAATTATGTCAAAAAACACCTAGATTAAAGAAAAAAACTTTGAGAGTGTCTCTGAAATTCAGTGAGGATGCAAAACTCCAGATCAATGCCTTGTGATTCTGTTACAGTCCTAAGAATGCAAGTTGTACACATGGCTCATGAATAACGAAAAACAAAATCAAAGACTTAGTAGTGTTTACTCATTATTATAATTGCTATCTTCAGCAATATTAACTTTTAGCTCATGTAGAAGGTTCCTATGAAAATTTTATTTCAAATATAAGACAGAGGGCAATTACAAGTCCTTTAACCCTAATATGAGCTTATTATGTCATTAAACAAATTTAACTGAGAGATGTTCTCCTTTATGGGTGGAAAGGTGACATACTATGGCAACAGAGAAACTTTAAAGATAAAAATGATTTAAATTTACTTAAGTAGAACATTAATACTAATCAGTAAACAGTCTTAAAAAATTAAGTTTTTCATAAGGCTATAACACTATTTTAAAAAGAAAAATGAAGAAACTTAAAACCACACTGTAAGGACTCACTTATTAAAATATAGGCTCCCCTCCCCCTTTAAGCATATTTATCATGCATTGTTTTATGAAAAGAAACACTTACTTGATTTTTGACTGAGTCCGCTGGGATGCAGACTAGTTTTGTCAAGTTGAAAGAGAAAGATTTTTAAGTTAAATTTAGCAATTGTATATTAAAATACACATACTATTAAATTACTCAGTGCTCTAGTTTTCTTTTGATATGGAATAACTACATGAAAATTTTCTTCAAAGATAAAACATAGTATATGCATTATTAAATGATACTAGTCTTCACACAAAAAAACAACATGTTAGCATTTTTATAATTTCATTAATTTAAATTTTTAAAAACATTTTTCTTAAAACATTTTAATAACAGAAAACTTTTCTAAAGGTATGAATGAAAAGGTTATTTATCCAAAATGTCCAGTCCTAACAAGAAATAACTCCTAGCAACATTTTAAAAAAACAGTATAACATTCCAGTTTAAACAATGTAAAGACTGCTCTGAAAACCTATAAAGGAACCATTTCCATGGAGATTTCCAAATAACCTCAAACTCCATTTTGTGACCTTTCTCCAACAGACATATCATCAAGAAACAAAGTGACTCTTGTCCAACACCTACTTTCCTAAACTATGCCTGCACCTATTAAAACTAAATCTAAAGACTTGTCCTGGGTCTTAGGTAGCCTCTAAACTGACCCAAAACAAAAAGAGAGGAGGTTTGGGATCAAGGAAATAAATAAAAACTACTTTAGAGGTCTGAATCTAACTCAGAATTACTCTTCGGTATAAAGGACTGAGAAACAATGTGCATCTAGATCATATTAAGCAGAGAAACTAACCAGAACAGATTATTCCAGTTCACCCGGATACCAGGAAAAGAACCAGACTGAACCATGGCAGTAATAAAATGTGCTAAGCCTACATAACTTGACTCTGGACTAAATGTTTTTCTTCTTCTTCTGTTTTTTTTTTTTCTTTTAATATTATTTTTTTAGCTGAAGTTGGACACTATACCTTTTATCTATTTATTTATTTTTATGTGGTGCTAAGGATTGAACCCAGGGCCTCCCACGTGCTAGGTGAGCACCCTACCGCTGAGCCATAATCACAGCCCCCCCAACCTTTTTTTTTTTTATTCAAATGCCATTCTGCTATTTGTAGCCCTAGCCTCAATCTTAAAATTATAAAACCTGTACTAAATTACTAGCAATAAAATAGAAAGTCAATTTTTAAAGACCTCTTCCAATTCATTCCCTACCTATCACACCTAGGAATATGGGCAAGCATGGATGTATAGGGATAGATAGCACTCACATTTGTAGATATTCAAAGCCCTTGTTACTATGCATACACATATTTTGCCTGAAGCTCACAATAACCTGTGTGATGTAGAATAGTTCTTTCATCCCCAGTTTACACATGAAGAAATCTCAGGGAACAAGTGACTTTCTTAATGTCATAATGTAATTTTGAAAGATTGAGATGTAAATAAATCTTTGAGAATGTACAAAGTAACTCAAAATGTTAAGTAATTGCCCATAAAAAGAATTAGGAGCCAGATATAATGAAGCATGCCTATGATTCCAGCTATTCAGAATAGTGAAAAAGAAGAATCATTAAAAGGATCCTGAATCCTAAACCAACCCAGGAAACTTAGACCTTGTCTTTAAAAAAGGACTATACTCAAATCTCCTGACTCCTTGTAATTTTCTTTCTTGACTAAATATGTAAATCACTACTACTAAAAAAGCATTAGCCATGATTTAAATATATTACATATAAGCTTAAATTGATTAAAAAATAAAAATCTCTTAACTCTGCCATAACTTTTAATGACTGAAAAGACCTGAAGTTTCATGTCCAAAACAATGACAAACATTAACAATAAGATAAATATAAGCATTTCCAATTTTACTTACCCTGTGTGTTTTAAGCCAACCATAACAAGTCCTACAAGTGAATCCAATTGTTTAAAACTAAATAAATGTGATGCCTTTTTAATAATAATGGCAGGAAATAATCATCATCATACTAAATTAACTTAATCTACACACTAAATTCATTAAAATAGCCCAATAACTTTCATGACTATAAACTTTTATAATTATTTCATAAAAATGATTTATTTCAATTGCTACAAGAACTAGTATTTAAATCAAAGTGCTTAAATTTTTAACTGACAGAGCTCATCCCAATTGCTATCTCAAATTATGTTTGATACATGAAAATTAATATGAAGTAAAAAAATGAAGAATGAAAACTATGGACTTACCACCTCAGATTCTGACCCTATAAAACATAAAAATGGAAACATTCTCAGACAACAGTGCATTTGTAGGCAGTTTCATAATTTCTGTAGCACAAATATAAAAAGAATGCCAATTCTCTATATCTTTCAAATAAAAAACTGGTTTAATTTTGCATCCTGGAGTCATGTTAGACTCCTTATTTCTAAGGAGTGCTATTCCAATTTTACATGCTAGGCACGCACTCGACCACTGAGCTACAACCCCAGCCCTCCTTAAGTCATTTCTTAGTAATATCATGATATATTGCACAGAAATTCATTCAAATCTCCCTTTCAATAAAAGAAAGTAAGCAAACATCAACATATCATTAGAAATCAATATCTAAGGGACTATGTACAACTTACAGAGATTAAAAATAATATTTGTTCAAACCAAAACATTTGAAATATTTACTACTATTTTGAATTGAAAGACTATGGAAAGCCTACATAACATACTTACCATTCAGAGCTTCTTGACACCTTTTAATCCAGGCAATGAAATTAGCACCTGCACCTATAAAGAAAAAACTAACTATAACATCACGCATCTGTACAATATAACATATTCATTTAACAAATACTTAGGGAATATCTACTATGTCTCAGGCAATGTTCTAGGCACTAGGGATTCAGCAATGAAGAAAGACAAATACACCTATCATATGTAGCAGAGCACTGCAATCCTAATATTTTTACTATAAACTTACCAATACATTCAATATTCACCTGGAAAATTCTGCTTTGTATGCTAGATTAGTTTTAACTACAGCTGAACTCATTCGTTTCTCAGGTATTTATAATCGACATTTTGTCCCACCTCCCTTCTCTTAAAGAAACATCCTCTCACCCAACAAAATCAGACCCGAATCAGATTCCCAATAAGCCATCAAACACGGTGGGGTGGAGACCTAGTAACCGGCAACTGGGATGAGGTTGAAAAGCCTCTCCTAGCCCCAGCCTGCTCTTCAATGCAGGCATCTATTCTGTCTACTCTCTCTTAGTGACTTTACTTGTTGTCATGCCTTTCCTACTTATACTTTGTGAAGTTCTGTTATGTCTCCAAAACTTACATGGCAATCAAGAGACTATATACACAGCAAACTATATAAAGGTAACAATGTGAATGTATACATAAAAGCAAATTATTCTTGAGACCCAGAACACTGGAATCTAAATAGTCATAGTCCCTACTAAAAAGGCTGGGGATGTGGCTCAGAGGTAGAACGCTTGCCTAGCATGTGTGAGGTACTGGGTTCGATTCTCAGCACCACATATAAATAAATTAATAAAATAAAGGTCCATTGACAATTTAACAGATATATATGCATATATATATATATATATATATTTATATATATATATAAATAAAAATATTAAAAGTACTCTACGAATTCAAGGTAACTTCAGGCAAGACCTGAAAAATGACAAGCAGTAAAACTTAAAATTTCCTAATTTAATTTATAAAAGAAATTAAACTACATATGCCTTAATAAAATTTTTAAATACACATGCTATATTCTACTAGGGGAAGGTGTATCAAAACCCTATGAAGGGCTGGGACTGTAGCTCAGTGGCAGAGCACCTGCCTAGCATGTGAGGCACTGGGTTCCATCCTTAGCAGCACATAAAACATAAACAAATAAAATAAAGACATTCTGTCCATCTACAATAACAAAAAATAAAATAAAAACCTTATGGAATAACCTATTATTCAAATAATTAGTAAATTAAACCAAGCTTCCCATCATATAAAGGGAGGGGAAAAGGTACAAAGCTTAGAAATCTAGAGGATGACTCTTGTCTCTTTAGGTTTTCCAATATTTATCAAAGTACTAGACAATTAGACTCTTTAAAAACTTGCTCAGAGCAGACATGTTGACTTGCTTATTGAATAGCCATAATTCATGTACCAAAATTGGAATAAGCAAGTTTAAGAACAACTATTAGTGCCCAGATCCCTTTCTAATTCTGTATTTTTCACTTGCACAGCTAGATCCCAAATCCTTTTTTCTGAGTAGGTATATAGCAGAAAAGCAAACGTTAAAGTTGTAAATTTTTTAAAAAATATAATACTTTAGAGGAGAGTTTCTCAACCTCAGCACTGACATTCTTTATGGTGGGGGGCTGTCCTGTGCATTATAGGATGTTTAGTAGCACTCCTGACTTCTAGTAACTAGACAATATGAGCATAATCCCCATCTACCAATCATAATAATAATAAAAAGAAATCTTCAGACATTGGCAAGTCTCTCCCAGGAAGCAAAACTATCACTAGATTAAAAAAAAAAAAATGCTTTAGAGACTTGTGATAATACTCTATTGTAAGGTATAGTAAGTACAATCAGAATTAGGCAGTCTGTAATTATTCTATAAGATTACTTACAACCCGTTATCTTTCAATATTTTTACAGATTTTTAAATTTTCAGCTCTCACAATTTGTGTTCACAGAATACACAGCTGTGATAATGTACATATTCCTCTCAAAAAGATGATATGTTTAGGAACTCAAACACTCTCAAAGCTCCGTATTTCTTCTGTACCCTCTCAGAATTTACTCAAATTTATATTTCCATAAAGGTCATATTTTCAGATTTCCCATCTTTGCAATCTTAATAACGTAAAAATTAACAAACTTTTGAACAAGACAACTTTTCCATTAGAAAAAAAAATAAGGCCAAATTCAGTATGCAGAGAATACTCAGTATTTAGTTTGACTTTTAACTGTAAGATTTATCTGTGATTTAAATGCTAAAGAAAGGCCAATTTAATCCATTTTAAATGGCTTCAAAGTCTGTAATGAAGAAAAAAGGTGTTGCCTTTCTACAACTGAAATTAATAAAATTCAGCTATGGTATTTAAGATATATAAATGATAGATTACTTTGAGTATAACTCTAATACTTACTATCTAATTTCTGTCCTTCTGTAAAAGTTTCTAGAGCAGAAGCATAGTTTTTTTCATGGTATTCACATATCCTGCATGGACATATTAAAAGCAAATTAACACATGTATCAGATCATAGAAAACAGTCCCCTTTCTAAATAAAAAATTTCTTAGTATTCTCTCCTGTTAGAAGGTTTTTTTTGGGGGGAGGGTGTTCAAAGATTGAACACAGGTGTGCGTTACCACTAAGCTACATTCCTAGACCACCCCCTCCTTTTTATTTTGAGACAGGGCCTCACTAAGTTGCTGAGACTGGCCTTGAACTTGTAATCCACCTGCCTCAGCCTCCCAAGATGCTAGAAATACAGGCCAGGGTCAAACCACCAAAGAGAAAGAATTTAAGTATATGCTAACGAGCCAAGAGATTTTCTAAATTACTGTAACATCTAGTATAATTCTCATTAAAATTCAATTTTAAAATTCACTTCACAAGGATTTTAATTGTACAAAATTGCTCATTTCAAAATATACAAAGAAATTAATTCTTAAATATTAAGTCCCATTTATCAACAGATAAAAAAACTGGGTTTAAAAAATAAAAATAAGGGCTGAGGTTATGGCTCAGTGGTAGAGCGTTTGCCTAGCACGTGCGAGGCCCTGGTTCTATCCTCAGCACCACATAAAAATAAATAAATAAAATAAAGGTATTGTGTCCAACTACAACTAAAAAAAATAGATTAAAAAAAAATTTTTTTCCTAGCATTTGTAGCCCATTCAGCTTGGCTGGGGAACAGGATGTTCTCTAGTCAGTTAAATACCATAAATTCCAAATGATAAACAAAAAGGGAATATGAAATCTATCAGTTTCATCTATAACTTGCAGTTACTTCAATCATCACTAATTTAAACACAGCAAATATAAATCTACTACTTTAGTTAACATACTAGAACTGTTATATGTAAAACTGAATCAATTCTCAGCTGTAAAATGTATAAATACAGCATTTTACCATATATCTATACATAAAGCTTACAATTACTTCATTCAAAAAATGAAACACCTACTAGCTACAGTCCAAGCCCAACAAGAATAGTTCATTACATACCCTTTTCTCATTACAGCAGTGGAATTATTTGGATTGAGTTCAAGGGACCTTTTTACATCAGCAACAGCATCTGTATATAAAAAGAGAAGTTTTTTTAAAAGTCAGTTATTTACAGATCTAGCAAATACTACACACTAGAATCAGTCTTACACTCTTAAGTTCCCGGAAAGGCCATACAGTTTTATCTGTTGGATGGTTTTGTTGTTGTTTTCCCAGTGCTAGGGATAGAACCCAAGGCCTCATACATAACCCAAGGCCTCACACATTGCTTATAAGCTTTCTACCACTGAGTTACATCTCAGTCCCAAATGGTCTTAAATTGGGAAAGTTTATTTGAGATGAAATTCAAGTAAGTATTACCTTCATAAATTTCTTTTGGTCTAATATTTAGCTTCCTTCTTAAAGCTCTTCCATTAATAAAGCTCTGTGTCACAAAGCCATTTTAACATTAATAGTATTTATGTAATATAGCTTAAGATATTAATTCTTCTCTATGGATTCTCAATCAGAATTTTTTTGGGGGGTGGGGGGAGGGATACTGGGGCTGTACTCAGGGACACTTGACCACTGAGCCATATACCCAGCCCTATTTTATATTTTATTTAGAGACAAGGTCTCACTGAGTTGCTTAGCACCTCGCTTTTGCTGAGACTGGCCTGGAACTCACAATCCAGGCTGTCTCAGCCTCCCAAGCCCCTGGGATTACAGGCATGCAACACAATGCCCACCCTCAATCAGAATTTTTAAAAAAGTTACGCAATACATAAATACATTCTTTTTTATTAAAAAAAAAAGGAAAAGAGCATTTCATTTAAATACTGTGAAATAATACCATTTTTATTAGTATATCCAATGACTATAATTGAAATCTATACAAATTCTCTACCGAAGAGACACACTTAACAGTTAAACAGGTGTTTCTCAACATAATGTTTGTCAAACTGCGGCTACTTTACCGATTGTTGTGAAAGACCAACTTAAAATTTGTATGATGGGGTGGGGTTGTAGCTCAGTGGCTGCGCGTTTGCCTTGCATGCGTGAGGCTCTGGGTTCAATCCTCAGCACCACATTAAAAAAAAATAAATAAGTGAAATAAAGATATTGTGTCCAACTACAACTATAAAATAAATATTTAAAAAAAAACCCTCAAAAATTTCCTCAAGTTTTTTGGATTCAGTTTGTTTTAGACAAAATTTATGAGTAAATGATAGAGAAGAGACAATAATACACTTCATAAGAGAAGTTACCACAGTAATTCCCAAGGAGAATGTGACAATAAGCTCTTTGACAATAATACTGTGCATCATCTGGTTTCTGTTCCAAAGCCTTCGTCAGCTCCTACAAATAAAAATGTTGAGTGTTAGTAAATGTTTTTAAAAGCCACTGAATTCTAATTAAAACATAACTTTTAACCAACTAACCTATTATTACAAGCTATTTGAAGAAAAGAACGGGAAACAAGTTGGGAGCTTTTCCTTGTAAAGTCGATCAATCTTTCCTTTCCTTTCCCCACTCCATGCTCAAAGAACACAATGTAATGTAACATTTATGTAAAGCACTTAGCAGTTTCTGGTCTACAGTAGAAACTTAAAAATTATCCCCCATTTATTCTGAAAAATTTACTTTGTATACTTCGGCCAGCACAGAATTTCTCCAAATTTGGAGAAGACTCAACGATCATATAGAATTTGAGATGCTTAGAAAATGGGAAGATATCCAATTTTAAAAACAAATCATTGAAGTTAAATCTAGAGATCAGAGAGGTTAACAGAATCAGAGAAAGCCTTCCCTAACTTCCTAGTCTGTGACCAGACAGCCAAAGACAGGATTCAAATCCAGGGCTTCCTGACTCTTTTAACCAGTTTTGTTGCCAAAACTATCAGGAATCTATCTGTATTGATGTATTCTAATATTCTCAAAATTTCTAGCACCAAACTTTAAAACAATTTTGAAAGTAGCAGATAGCTTATTTCTTCTAAACTACATTTTCAACTCAAACTTCTAGCTTCTTCTCAGTAAGAAAACAGAAATACTACAGTCAAAAGACTTACAAATCATACTGATGATTGGATTAATTTAAAAAGTACTTTTAGAAAAAAAATAAAGTACTTTTAGAAGTATTACATAAGAGACATAAGCCAGACACTAGGGTGGGGAGAGAAGATTTGGAAAAAACACACACACACACAAACACACACACCTTTTCTTTAAAAGTTAGAAAAAGTTAAATGCTTCTGCATTTTAAAGCACCTCTGTAAATGACCTTTAAAACCATAATCCAATTTCTTGTTAAGGAGAACTGGTTATGGTTACTCAGTTAAATAAAATAAGCAACTGACTTAGACTGTTACTGAAAAAAAGTTATCAAAAAACCACAGTACAAACTTTAAAGTCTGACACGCAAAAAAAAAAAAAAAAAAAAAACTTATAAAAGTTTTATTCATGATTTTATAAGATTTTAAAACTTATAAAATCATGAATAAAACAATTTATCTTTTGAATAAGCAACATACAATAAAACAAGGAAAAGTAAAGTTAAAATAATGATTTATGGTCTTTACATCTAACTTATGGCACGTTTTTAGAGTTCTGCTTTTTTCTTTCTGTTCTTTTGACAATCACTGCTGTCTGCTAGACTACAATGGGTCTAAGGAAGTAAAATAGATAAAGCAAGGTCTTCAGTGCTAGAGGACATCAGAAGTTCTTCCCCTTACCTAACTGCCCCCCCATACCCACTGTCCATCCTCTCTCCATGTTTTATTCAATCTATCTATTTATTTATTTATTTATGGTGCTGAGGATCCAACCCAGTGCTTCACATGTGATAGGCAAGCACTCTACCACTGAGCTACAGCCCTGGTCCTCTCTCTGTTTTTTAAAACCCCATTAATCAGTCTCTATCCTGCTATGCTCTTATTGTACTTCATACAAAAGCCCATTACAATAGTTATCTTATATTTTAATAATCTGATGACTTGTCTGTCCACAAGACTGTAAAATCCCTCATGGTAGTCTTTTCTTCTTTAGAGTCTTGGCCCCCAGGAGAACATTCAGCACTAATAAATGTCATTTGGTGACTGAAAGAAAAATGTGAAACAATTTACGCTACACAGCCCCTCTCTTCTTTATTCTTGATTGGATGGTCTTGGGTAAAACATACTCATTTTTTTGTGGAGCAGGGAAGGGGGTCTGGGGAGTGAGCCCAGGGTCTCATATACGCTAGGCAAATGCTCTACCATTAAGTACAGCTCCTGACCAAATATACAGATTTTAACCAATATGATAGCAAGTGACCTGAACCCCAAAATGGCCTGCTAAAGTAGCCCTTGGGGAAACAGACTAATATTCAGCATCGATGTTCTGGACCTACTTATAGTTACCAATTATTTAATAATTTACATTTACCTGTTTGTCTTTGTGAGGGCACCTCAAGGTTAAGAAATAACATTTCCTCCTAATATAGCTGGATTTATTTCACGATCACCCTCCTTTTATTCAAAAGTTTCTGATTTCAGGTCTGTGGTGGGTCCCAAGAATATGCATTTCTAACAAGATGATACTGCAGTTGATCTGAAGACCACACTTTTGAAAATGAATGTTCTCTAGCAGTAGACCAAAAGTACAGAGTAGCAAAGTTCTTTTAGAAGTCATACTAGGAAAGAAAAAAGATCCTCTTGCCTGGTATTGCTAACCTAACTTATAACATAACGTGAAAGCAAGAAACTCCTGGCTAAGATGTTGTGAACTACAGCAACATGGCTGTAGGTTAGGCTCTATTTAATTGTTTTTATTGAACTCTTAACACTTTTACATTCCTTTACAACTTCATGGTCTTCCAGAGCGCAAAAACACAAAGTGCTAACTTAGTCCAGTACATAAAGAGAACTGACCCACAACAATCACTCCTTGTACATTGCAACTCGAAAAAAATATTTATCAACAAACGAATTAATACTGAGCCTTACAGGACATCTGGAAAGTTTTAGGGACATATGGGAAAAGGCTTTTGTTCTAATACACTGAGTTCATACAGACGCTTAACACTGAGCCTGTTATGCAAGAATGGCAAGGATGACAGTCAAATGAAATAATATCATCAAGCCCAAATTTCACTTTTTCCTATAGGCAGAAATGCCATTTAAAAAAGAAAAGAAGCTTCTCTGAAACCAACTATGCCCCCACGAAATAAATCAGAGAAGGTGTTTTTTCTCATGAACTGCGGGGATGTAGGATGCAGGATGCAGGAGTGCGGGAGAGAAGAAGAGTAAGAGCAGGGGTCTGGCCCAAAAGGGTCCGTGTGGGGCTGAGAAAGGAGACTGAGGATCTCAATACTGAGGTGGAGACACAGTAAAAACTGTAGCCTCCGTCCCGAAAAGGCAATGCTGGGAAGAGGCGGGGTTAAGCCAGAACAGAGTGGAGGAGAAAGAAATGGTCTCTCACCTCTAACGCCGCCTGGGGATCCTCTTCGATTAAAGCATCTGAAAAGCACTGGAAAAACCTGCAGGGAAAACAACGACTTCAGCAGAGCTCGCTAACCAAAGATGGAGGGGGGTTTAAAATAAACAACAAAGGGAAAGGAAAACACGCACCGCTGAGCTGTTGCAGGTTCTGCTGCGGCCGCCGCCATCCCTAACAGCCACTGTCGCTACCGCGGGAGCTGCTACTACCGCAGTTACCAGGACCGCCGCCGCCCACGGGGGAAACTTCTGGAGAAACACCAACCGAGCTTCCGTCCTAAGTAGCCAACGAGCAGGCACGCAGCGTGCGGCTGGGGGAGGGGAGGCGACCAGCAGGCGCAGGGCCAGCTGGGAAAGTGGAGGACCGGTTGTCGCCGCCGTGTCTGGGGTCCCGTGACCAGCTCTGACAGTCCCTCCCCTCTCCCTGGAAGCCATGGTTACGGAAGCCGCCAGCACACTCATTTGCCCTTTCTTCCTCCTTGTTCGCCCAAACCCCGCCAGCACTCTAAGAGAGCCTTCCGGAATAGTCTTTCAGAAGCACTTTTGTAACGCACTGTTATCCCTCATGAACTCTTGGCGATTGAAGCGTATGCATGTCTGTTAATAACACAAACTGCATTGACATATTTTCACCGAAGTTCTCATCATGGTTACCGCAGAAGCCCAACCTCTCGTGAGTCGTGACGTCATTCGCGACTGCGAGTGTTTTTCCGGGAGCAGAGTCCCGGATGGCGCGTGGATTCTCGCGATCTTTTCGCTGAGTACTCGAATGGGTAAGGACTAGCCGGAAGTCGTTTTGGTTCTAGAGAGGCGACCGAGGAAAACTGTTTTTCTTCCCGGGCGTCTGTGTCCCTCAGTCTGTGGCCCAACCTTTCTTCCTAGTCGGCTTCGCAGACCAAGAACAATCTTTTCAATCCGAAAGCACCCAAGGCAGGAAAGTGGCCTAGCATTGTCTCATTGCTGCTTTATTTTCCAACCCAGTTGGCCAAGCCCTCTTCCACCGTTCCCTGGCCCAAGTAGATCAAACTAGGAAGCTTCCAGCAAGTTTCACGGGACGGGGTTAGAATGGGGAACTGGAGGGAGAGTGAGAGGCACTGTAGATTTAAGTAATTTGAGTGTCTGGTACATCCATAGTCCACACTAAACTCCGAGTCTCAAAGATGTTAATGCCCTCAAGAAGTTTAAATCCGTTTTGTTCTAAGCGACAGAATGAAAGAAGTGATAACAAGGCGCACTTAGCTGAAAGACTACAAAGTTAACTTCCTCAAAGACTAACTTTGATACCAGAGCTCGTCCTTGAAAGATGGGGAGTCGATGAAAGGAGGGAAAAGGCAATTAATTCGGACAAAAACAATGTGTTTGAAAACATAATCGCTAAAATTTGAATTCAAATTCAGTCAGAGAAACTAGAGCTAGATCATAAGGGGCAAGGTGTGGTGTGCCAAGAAGCATGGGTGTTAACTCTCCTGGCCAATTCATTAAGAGATTTTTTTTTTTAAATCTGCAAAGTCATCAATAGATTTGCATTTTTTAGGTAAATTATTTGTATTGTGAAGGAATGATTAAAGGGACAAGGATAATAGTTGTTGGGAAATAACTCTTAATATAGGTCAAAGAAATGATTTCTAACCCACCCTAGAGTAGGAGAGGGAAAGTATGAGTTCAGATAATCTTGAGATAAAACTGCCAGGACTTGCCAGGCACAGATGGGGGAGCAAGCCTGTAATCCCAGCCAGTTTGGGAGGCTGAAGCAGGGGGATTGCGAGTTCAAAGCCAGTTTCAGCAAAAGCAAGCCCTGAGCAACTCATGAGACCCTGTCTCTAAATAAAACACAAAATATGGCTAGGGATGTGACTCAGTGGCGAATGCCCTGGAGTTCAATTCCTTGTACCACCCCGCCACACACACACACAAAGAAAAAGATATGAATTGAAAGGGAAACAAGTTTTTGGTTTGGGTAATTGGTGAAAGATTATACCAGTAGCTAAATTATAAAACTGAAATGAAGCAGATTTGTACAGAGGTGAAGAGTATTCATTTGGATATAAAATTTTGGAGTTCACAGCATACACTAAGAAATGAAGACCATAATGATGAGACCTTTTGAAATCTTTTACATAACCATTTTTTTGAAGTTTTCTTACCGGTTTATAGTAGCTCATATGGTTTAGAATGGAGTCATTTATTCGATACATCTATTGCAGATATATTCTCAGTTGTCTTTCATCCTCTTAATATTTGTAAAAATGTAATCCAGCTTGTATGTTCAGTGCCTTTTTGGGTCTCATTTAAATCTTTCCCTACACCAAACCTGTGAAAATACTTTGTTCTAGATGCCTTTACTTTTCATGTTTACTATCCGTCTTGAATTAATTGTGTTAAAGGTATGAGGTTAGGGGTTAAAGTTCATTTTCTCTCCCATACGAATATCCAATTGACCCAGACACATTTATTGAAGTTTTTCATTTCTCCTTATTTAAATTGTATAGCACCTTTGTTGTCATATGTAATGTTGAAGCCACCATCTTGGAATTGGGAGTTCTAAAACCTGCCAGTACCTTGATATTGAACTTCACATTCTCCAAAAATAAATTTATGTTTATTATAAATTATATAATCTTAGGTATTTGTTTTAACGACATAAGTAAACGAAGACACTGTACTTAGATTGTGATTTATGCAGTGAAAAACTGCAATACTAGTCTGGTTAAAAAGATTTTATTGGCCTGGATTATAGTATATTAATATTATATACTCTTAAAAAATCATTTTAGAATAATTAGAATGAGAAAATAAGTGAAAGTTACTGCTGGGTATAGGTATTGGATTACAATTTATATTTTTCTTAATGTTTTCCAAGTTTAGCAATTAAGTTTCTAATTAAAAAACTTGTTTTAGGCTGGGGATATAGCTCAGCTGGTAGAGTGCTTACCTTGCATGTACAAGGCCCTGGGTTCAATCCCCAGCACCACACACACAAAAAAAAAACTTGTTTTTTACAAGTGTGTTTAACATTGTTGAGAATATTTTATTGTTACCCGATTCTGGGAGCTTGGGTGCTATGGTTTGAATGTCTGTAACTGTTAAGAGGTAGGACCTTTAAGATTATCATCACCAGAGTAGATCTGTTATAAAAGCAGCCCCCTTTTCTGCTTTCTGTCATGAATGACTCAAGAAATGCCAGTATCATACTTCCTGGTCTCCAGAACTGTGACAAGGATCCCACCACCACCACCCCACCCCGCTCACCCCATACTGGGGATTGAACACAAGGGCCCTCTACATCCCCAGCTCCAACCCTCAACCCATTTAGAAAAAAAAATTTGACAGTTGCCAAGACTGATCCTTCTGCCCCAGTCTCTGAAATTTCTTAAATTTCCACTGCACCCACCTGAGAAATAAATTATATATATATATATATATATATATATATATATATATATATAATCATTTAGTAGTAACACTGTAAATACTAGTGAACAATCTCTGTACATTTGTTAAGAAATTTTTGCCCAAAAACAAATATTGAGAATTTCACGATTTATTTAATAAACCAATTAACGATACAAAAAACGTTTAGAGGATTCCAAAATTTAAATTTTCATTTAAATACAAATTCACTTTATAATATGAAAACATATAACATTAGACCTCTAAACATGATTTTTTCATCTACAAAATTTTTACTAGAAAAGTTTGCAGAAAACAATTTTTATTGTGACACTAAATGTACATTATTTACAGTTGAAAAATCTAAAAACTATTTTATTTCAGAAACTTGGATATATGTGTATGCAATTCCCTTCCCCTCTCCACCCCCAGTAAAAAATAATCCAAAATATAAAGCTATTATGCTTTTATAACAAATGACTACTCAAGCCAGATTAGCCCAAGACTCAAATTGTTTTCTTGGTCTATAAGAAAGTGCTTTGACTTTCTTAGAATAGCAGTATACCATTTAACACTCAGCAACAAAAGTTTACTATAATGGACCATAGTACACAGTGATCTAAAGAATTAATGAAAAAAAAATTAGGATGAATTTATGGCAGATTTTATTGATAATAGAGTGAATTTTGTAGGGATCACTTATTTTTCTATAATATTTAAGCTATATTGCTTTAGGAAATAACTTGATAATGTTTTAATTGATAATTTTAAAATATAGGTGTTAGAATAAAAATTTAAAACTACAAGGGAAACTGGAGATCATTTACTCCTATGCGTCCCTTATGAGAACTGAGGCCCAAAAAGAATCAAGTGGTTTGCATTGCCCAAGATTACACAGCTAACTAGGGGGAGAACCACTCTTAGGATGATATTTTATACTACTCTGCTGAAACAGGTTGAGCCATATCATGGGCATATTTCAATTTTTAATGTTACTTTTTCATAGTTTGTTATACAGTACAACCAACTAAAGTCAATCTAAGAGACATAATTTTAACAAAGAATAAAATAAGTTTCTTGCATTTTAGAGTCAAGACTTAACTTATACAAGTGGAATGAAAATACTTCCTATATAAATTTCCTGTTGCCTTACATTTAAGTAATGTATTTACAAAAGAATCAAAACAGCTAATACAATGTAAAATTAGAAAAGAAACTTTAAAAATGTTTATGGTATAACAACTGAAAAAAAAATCTCAAAAGGATGTCTTCATAGTATAAAATGCCTGTTCCTTCACAATTGAATTCTGAAACATTTGGAGAATAAAGAGAAACACTTGGGTTTTACTCCCTCAACTAACAAAATCAAAATTAACTCAATTATTTTTTTTAACAATCGCAAAATTAGGAACCTCTATAGATTTATCTTAGAATCAGTTTACAGACAACTGAAAATGAGTTCAATTATAAAACAATCATCCATAAATCCTTTGGTACATTATTTAAAAAGAGTTGGGTTCCAGCAGTTCATTTTGTTTCATAGCTACCTGAGAGGCAAATCCATTGGTACTGGATACCACCATCACATAAGGTTGTGGCTGTTGCTCAGTTTTCTCAGTGTCTTCTTTCAAATGATCTTCAATCTCCTTTTTTTCTACCTCCTGTATAAGAGTTTTTGTCTCTTGAGCTTTGATAACTGAAGTAATTACAGTGCCAGGAGGGTGAGCAACGAGTTGTGAACTTCGAGGAGAAAAGGTCACCACAGGTGTAGTAGCACTGAAGGACGGGGATGAAGTCATACTGACGGTTCCATTGCAAATGGACTGAACATTGCTAGTAAGAACCTGTTGTACATGGGCAGGGCTAAAGACAATTGAAGGAGGAGAACCTGCCTTTTGTGATGGTAG